GGCCGTCACTGGATGATGGACTCACTCTCTGATCTTGCTGGAGAGAAATTCTCCCTCCTGTTGGAGATCCCTGTGCTGCTCAGTCTTTCCCTCTCCAGACCAGTGGCCCAGGCTTCGACTGATGATCCAGAGCTGCAAAGCACCCAGCCGTGCTACTGACTGAGTGTGTGAGGGATCAGTGGGCTGCACTTACGGGTGAGTGCTTCCCCCATAACTGTGTGAGATCACAGCTCCCTGGCCAAATACAGGGACACCCCATCCACTCTGCCAGGATCTGAAAGGCCTTTATCTGCCTGAGGCTGGCGTTCAGGCCCTCAGGCTGCTGTACCACAGTCAATGACCGTCTCAATTCCTGCAGCAAGGCACACAGCTGCTTTCACCACCCTCTGGTGGGCCTTAGTGCTGGGGCTTGGTAGGTAAGTGAAGAAGGAAACTGACTTTAAACCACTTTGGTTTCTACAATGTATTTGTCTGCCCTGTGTTCTGATCTGGAATCGATCGGGTTTCAGGAATCTATGCCGTCCCCTCTGTTAACAAAAGTTTGGGCTGTCCCCTGAGGCGGGCTATGTACCCAGAGACCATTAGATCTTCCAAAAGAGCTGCTTGGAAGTCTTCCTGCACTGCTATGCTCCAGGGGGTGGAAACCAGCAGAGGCCACATCCTCAGCTCTGGTAAATTAGCATAGCTCCCCTGAAATCTGTTCACCTCCCAGCTTGGGAAGCTGACTCGCTGGTTTACCTAAAGGCTTTTGCTGTCTCCTTTAGTTAGACAAGAGGAGCAAGGGGCTTGCAGTGTGGTTTTGGAAGTCTCCACAAGAGTGTGCTGCTGGCCTGAATTTCCCCAACACTTCTTTTGCTTTGTGCATTGAGAATTAGGAAAACATTTGTGCAGCTGAAGGAAGAATCTTTTTCAGCTGGGGAGAACGTTTGTGGTAATAAATTTCCCAGTTAAGAGAATTCAGTCAGTAAACCCCATGCACTAAAGACTTTTTTTCTCTTCACTTTCCAAATTAAAAAGATACTTACCAATCTTTGCAAGATCTCTTGCTACTTCCATAAGAATGGGAATAATACATCCAGTAGAGGAATAAATTTCATTTGGCACAAATATTTTCTTTACAAAGTACTGTACAGTCAACATTACTGAAAGGCAGCCGGCACACCGCTAGCTGTGTAAGGACATTTTGGCTCAGAATAATAGGATAAATCCATGCTCTCAGGAAAAGCATCAGGATATCTTTAACGTTCATGCAAATCTGACCTGGGGGCTTGAGTTTAAGGTCCTGTGTGAAAGGCCGTGCTCTGTAAACCAAGTGTTATCCCAGGGGGTTTATCCAAAGGAGGTATAGATGTTGGTGGGTGGAGAGAAAAAAGCACAAGTAATGATGAGTGTGGATAGGTCATTCACAAAGCTCTTAATTTAATGCAAATGTAATTCACCCAGTGCTTTCCCCTGCCCTGTTTTACCCAAAATCGACACATGTTCTTTTAAAGAGTGTTTTTTATTAGGGTCACGAGCGGATAATATAAACTATTAAGCACATTACATGGCAAAGGTTAGGTTGCAATAGTTTAAACTAATCCAATCCCACTTTGAAATGGGACTAGCTTAAAACCACTAGGGGCCTTTTAGTGTGGCAGGGTCCACACAATGTGGGGTAGATTCACACCTAGCTTGCCACAAACTAAATGTTCATGCAGACAAGTTCAAGAAGGTTCCAAACTTTCCAAAGTGGCCATTGCTCTCGCTTGCTCCCGCTTGGGTAGGGAGTTGAGGGCCCAGCTTGCATCTTGACTTTCAGCAGTGCTACGCATCACAACTCCACCTGAAATTAATAAGAACTACCAGTGCTCAGCAGCTCTTAAAATCAGCATCTCAAATTTGGGCCCTGGGAAACTGAGGCACCAAAAATCACTGGCTGCTTCTGACAGTGTTGGCCATGGACTTTACTAAGGGTGAAACCAACTAGAAATCATTCTAACTGCCTGAATAAGGAAAAGGAATTATATCCACGCTCTTCTTCATAGAATCGTATGGTTTTAAAGTCAGAGGGAACTATTATTACCATCTAGTCTGAGTATTTTTGTAATTATCCTGTAGAATTCTATAGCAGGGATATAATTCTTAATTTAATGGTGTGGAAAGGCTATGAAATACTATAGAAAAGCTATCCTTTTCTAGTAGAAAATGGAGTTTTTTCATAATGAAAAATGAAATTGGAGTAAGTCCAGCTAGAAGCATGTGGTGGTAACATTCGAGTTAGACTGTATTCTGGTGCTGCGTTCAGCTCCAGAGGTGGCTGCATGCATATGGAGGAAAGGATCGAGGAAGAGAGCATCAGAACTGAGCCCACCCCTTAGGAGCTAATGGCTGGGTGTCCAGCAGCGGGGAGCTCCCGACAAAAACTCTTGGTATCAAGTGGGGGAAGGCTGCATGTGTAACCCATTGGTCAGCATGTGCGGTGTCCCCCTCTGTGCCCAATCCACACAGAATACAAGTCGGGAGCAACTCCCAGCTGTAGGGACTGGTGCTTTTAGTTCAGGAGGTCCCTGGTGTCGGCTGAGATGTGGGGGTGAGTCACACATGTTGTATTGGCGTCCCTGATAGCAATGGAGCAGCCTGATCTTGCCCTCTCTGATGTGGGCAAAGCTCCCATCCTAACTAATGGGAGCAGGAAGGGTTCCTCCCCTTTGAAATTGGCCCATGAGTACCTAAATATGGATTTAAGCCTCCCTTCAGCCCCCCCAGCTTTGAAAAGGTTCATAGAATTCTTCCATCCTCCCCCACCCTGACTTCCCCTCTGCTTTTCACCCTTCATCTCTCTGCCCTGTTTTTCTCTCTGTTGGCTGTTTCTCTCCTCCGCTAGGGATTCCCGCACCGTCCCATCCTTTCCCCGGTTTCTCCCAGCAGGAGAATCTGACTCAGGCTCTCAAACCCAGGGGGCTTGGCGGTTGGGCAAAATGATCCCGCCTATCCCCAGAAGAAACCTGTATTTCCAGGGAGCAGGAAGTGCAGAGTGGGAAAGCAGAGTGCTCCAGAATGTGGTCTAGGAGAGAGAAATGAATGTGTGATAGCTTGCACCTGGCAGCTCCTGAGAGCTCGTAAACACTTTTCAGGATGGATTCCCGGTATGAGGCCTGGTCAGATCTGAGCTCAGACATTCAGCTACAAAAAAGAGTGAGAGCACTTAGATCAGAAGACCTAGGTTAGGGAGTGGTGCCAGCCTGGGTGGAAAGGAGAGGAGACCACAGACAATTCTGGGAGCAAATATCACTCTGAGGGCGCTCTACACTCCAGAGTGAGATCGACATATGGCACTTTTTGTCAGCCTAACTGTAAGGGTCTATGCTAAAATGTCGCTCCCGCCAATGTCACTCGCTCTTTACACCGACTTAAGAATGCCACCTCCGCGAGAGGCGTGGCACTTAGGTCAATGTGGTTAGGTCGACGCAGCGTCCGTGTAGACACTGCGTTGCTTACATCAACTCTTGCTGCCCTTTAGAAACCATCCCACGATGCCCCGCGCTGGCAGTTAAATCGGTGCAAGCTCTCCTGGTGAGGACATGCGCCGCCGACACAAGGAGCGTAGTGTGGACGTGTAAAACCGATTCAGTGATGGCGGTGGCTGTACATTGTACATAACTTAATTTTGTAGTGTAGGCTTGCCCGGAAGTGGAGTTCAGGGTGGCTTCATGGCGGGACTCCCAGCTCCCTGAAATCCCAAATTTGAGAGCTGAGCGAGTGACCCTCTAAGCCTGCTGTGGTCCTTTAACAGACACTGAGGGGAGTGTGTGAAATCTCGATGAGTGTTGTGGGCCCACCCAGGTTGCCGAGTGATTGTGTTCTGTGTGGGCTGGCACCCATCAGGGTCCTGATTCTGCTCTGTGATCCAACTTAAATGTGGAGTGACTCCGCTTGAGTCAATGGTGTCACATCAGCGGGGATCTGGTGTCGGCAAGAGAAGGATCTGGGCCTTGTGAGGTCACCCAACTAATGTGGTTCTATCTTTCCGCTCTCCTGGTGTAAGTACCTCCGTGGATGGGGAGGCGGGGGTAGGAAGAAGGGTATTGGCCTCATAGAGAGGCAGCAAGGCCTACCGGACAGAGCACAGGTCTGGCAGACAGGAATTCCTAAGTTCTGACCATGACTCCACCTCAGCTCTTTGGGAAAGTCACCTCGTCTCTCTGTGTCCCCCTTTTGCCATTGTACAGATGGGTATCATGCAGGTTCACGCGTTAATTACCCTGGTTCTGCAGGGTTAATTTAATTACCCTGGTCCGGCAATCGGGTCCGCCTGGGAAGACCCCATGCCCACACGGATCCCCATGGGGTACAGGACTGCAGCCCCCTGGATCCAATGGTGGGAGTGGGGACCAACGTCTGTTCAGGGCTTAGAAGATCAAAAACCTTATCTAAGGGCTGAGCAGCAGTATAGGCAGAATGCTGGCTCTCGGGCCTTTGATGGCTTCCATCCAGCAAGCCCAGGCAGGTGTCTTGGCCTTTCTTGTCTGCACTGAGGTATGCGGGAGCCCACCTCATTTCCTACGGGGATCTAGGGCTCTCTGATGGCGAAGTCTCAGCAAAGCCCCTTCTTTTGCAGGCTTGGCAGTGGAAGGGAGGCAGGTGCTCCGAGATGTGGACGCGGCGCTGAGCACATAGAGATGGCTGCCTCCTTTTCCCGAGCACCCCACTCCCTGTTTAGTGCTGCAGGGGTTCAACAGTTCCAGAGTTACTAATATGCAAATCCTGGCGTTTTGCATGGGCTGCATGCCAGGATCTCGGAGCAGCAGCATGCTGCCAAGCAGGAGGGCGGGGGGCGTGGCCACAAGGGCACAGCATGCTCACCTGGCTCAGTGTGTCGCCGGGCAATGCAGGTGTAGGTGCTTTGGAGCTGACTTGAGCCCGGCTTCAGAGGTGGGGGCAAACTGGCAGCCCCACAGGCCAGTGTGGGGCTGGCTGCAGGAGGCTGGGCGCGCTGTGGATTCTGTCCCACCAGCAGGATGGTGAATCTGGATTCTGTGCACACGGGTAAGAGGGAAGGAGGGAGGATGGTCTCTGGGGTAACCCATCAGGAAGCAGAGGTTTCAGAGTCAGGTTGGGGGTGGCCTGGGATTCCACTGAATCAGGTCCCCTGCCATGTTGAGGCAGGTGGTGGTGCTGAGGATAGGCATGCCATGAGTTAGCAGCTCCGAGGGGTTATAGGTGCGGCGGCCGTTGAAGGATGCGGGGGTCAGGTTTGGTTGATGAGAGCTGGAGAGAGAAAAGGGGGCAGAGACGACAGAAGGAATGGGGGGGACTGGGGGAGAGGGAGGTGTTTGGGTGGATGGGGCTGGGGCAAATGATGACGGGAGTCATTGAGGGGAAAGGAAACTAGCAGGGATTGTCAGGCAAAAGCCTGACTGGCTGAGGTGGGCGTGCTGGGGCTCACGTGCATGTCTCCACTGCAGAGCTCCTCTCCAGCTAGCCTAGCGGCAGAGAGGGTGGCTGCTCTGAGGGGTTGTCTACACTTGAAACGCTACAGCAGTGCTGCCCTCGCACCTCAGTGTGAAGACACCCGCTAGGGCAGGGGTTCTCAAACTGGGGGTCGGGACCTCTCAGGGGGTCACAAAGTTATTACATGGGGGGGGTCGCGAGCTGTCAGCCTCCACCCCAAACCCCGCTTTGCCTCCAGCATTTATAATGGTGCTAAATATACGTGTTTAATTTATCAGGGGCGAGGGGCTGCGCTCAGAGGCTTGCTTTGTGAAAGGGGTCACCAGCACAAAAGTTTGAGAACCCGTGACCTATGGGGACAGGAGGGATTCTTCCACTGCTGTTCCTAGCACTGTCTGGGCCGTGCGGTGGGTCACTCAGGAGCGTGCGTTTTTTCAGACACAGCCGGCTTGGCCTAACTTCTGAGTGTAGACCTGGGAAATAACCCTCCAGCCGCACAGCATGGCTGTGTTAGCAGCTGAGGCATTGTGCTCACTTTAGCTGCAGCCTGTCCCGCACCGACAGGCCAGCCAGCTCGCATTAGAAGCGCCACTGTATTCGAGTTTAGGGGGTTTTGTGTGTGGACAGGACTCGAGTTAGGGGCAATGCTCAAGTTAAATCTACAGGGAAGACAAGCCCCTAGAGATCCGGCAGGACGTATGCCTGCTGGAGTACACGCAGGCATATGTCCGTGTCGACGTGTGTGCTGGTGTATATTATCTGGGGATGCATTTCTTTGCTGGTGTGGAGAGCTGCGTGCATCCGGGCATAGGCTAGTGTCCGCATCCGAGCGTAGGCATCTTTGGGTCAGTCCATTGTGCAGCTATCAGCATGGGGCACTTCAGTGTGTGTATCTCTGTGGGTGTAAACACACACACACATCCCTCCACCCCCCCAACCCCCCTGGTGACAGGAGATTGCTAAGCCCACTGCTGTGCACTGTGACACTGCTGTGAGAGTACCTGGGCTGGGGGTGTCATTTTAAACACAGGGGTTTATGAGAGCAGGAGGGAAACCGAGTTCAGTGAACCGGCTCTGCCCAGGGAGAGACAGAAGTCCTGGTAGAAGGGGGAGCAGCTCCATCAAAGTCATTTGATTTTCACCCAGGCTGGATTGGGCCTGATACGTTTGATCAGGGCAGGCTTCTCCCTCTCTAAACCCTCTCATGCTCTTGGGGTAAGGCTGAGCACCCTGCCCAGTCCTCGGGGCCAGATGTTTACAAGGTAGCCATGGATTTTTGGGATCCCACGATGGGCCCGATTTTCAAAATGTTGTCAGTGGGAGCAGACAGTGCTCAGTGGCGCCTTTGAAAATCAGGCCCAAGGTGTTCACATGCACACAAAAGTGAAGGCCCTCAAAAATCTGTGGCTTGTCTACACACACACACACACACATACATGCCTTCTCCGTGCTATGATTAAAAACAATTTTTCTGTACATTGTGAACGTTCCACGGACCCTGTCCCAGAACTGCAATGAAATGTTGCATGCACCAGTTAGGGTTCCCAGCCTTCAGAGGGTGGCAGGAGACCCCCCCCTGCTCATTTCTCTCATCACAGAGAGCGGGGCGGATTTGGCTGCAGACAATAGAAGGTGGATTCTTTATTGAGGTAGCTGGCCACAGACCTGACCCTGTGGTTCTCTCAGGCTCCCAGACAACTATCTGAAATCTGAGTGGCTTCGTGTTACCTCATCGGAGTTCCCTAAGTCCTGGGAGTGGACGGGACTGCTGACTCCAGCTCATCACTCTGCTTTTGAATCAGGAATGCCATGGTGTCGTGGATGCTGCTGGTTGCTCAGACAGCCCCCGCTTGACCAAAAACCTTGATGGAGGAAGTTAAAAGCAAACTGCCCCAAAGCCCATTTAAGTCACTAAAAAGACTCCCATTCATTTCAATGTACTTTGAACCAGTCTCTGAGATTTCACCTCCCAAGAGCTAAAGTTTGAGGTTCTTTTTTTCTCCAGAGCAATGGATGAAGATTCAGGGACCTGAAATAAAGCAGGGACCCGTTGTCCTTACACGCTGCACTGGCCCTTGAGCTATTTGAATGTTGCAATTAAAACACCCAAATCCAGTCTCATATGTCAGCAATAAGTGAGGGAGGAAATGGATTTTTTTCCAAATAACAAGAGCATTGACATTCAGGCTAAATATACTGGGCCAGAACCTCAGCTGGTGTAAATCAGCAAAACTTATTGACTTCACTGATTTATACCTGTTGAGGATCTGACCCACAATCTGCGGGTGATCTAAAGATCTTTAAAAAGTATTGTTTTGATTTTAAAATCAAATCCCCAGCCAGTCTCATTTAACCCAAGTAGTTAGGTTTTTGTAAGATTTTAAAAAAAAAATCTATGATCTATAGAAATGTCTCAATGGCTTGTTAAATTCCAATGAAAACTGTTTGTTTTTGTCCGGATGGAAACCTTCCCTCTTATGGTTTGCAGCCTAAACTCTGCAAACTGTCGGGCAGGAAAGACAGCTGGTGAAAGTGGTTACATACAGAAGTAAAACTGACTAATAGAGCTGGGCAGGGAACTGGTTTCCCATCTCTCAACCATTTTTTTTAGATTTTGAAAAAATTTCCTCTCCAGAATCTGGACAAAAAAGCTGAAATCTCAAAAATATCCAGATATTGAGAAATGTTTTGGTTTCGGTTACCTGAAACGTGGATGTCAAAACGTTTTGGTTTGATTTTGACCATTTAAAAAATAATTAAAACTATTAGCTTAAATTTCAAAATGCAAAGAACCCTAAGCCTAATGGATTTTTTTCCATTTAGAATGCTTTGACAACTTCAAAGCTCTTCGGGGGAAAAAAAAATTGTAATTGAAAAATTCATCAGACATGAGCCTTTCCACCAAAACGTTTTGTCAGACAATTCCCAACCAGCTCCACTGATTTGGCTAGTTTCGTTGTTCAACCAAATTCCCTGCTGGCGTAACTGCCTTGAAATCAGTAGACTTCCACCAACTGAGAAATGTCTTTGCCATTTATGATAGGAAGGGTGTTCAATGTTTTTAAATATTTTTTGCCATCTGCGGCCAATGTTTTCTCTGTGGGCGGGGGTGGAATATGTACTAAAGGCAGGGTTCTAAAGCCACATGTAGGCACCTCAATAAATAAGGTTGGGCCAATCCTCAGTGGTACTGAACCTTTGCAAGTCCCATTGACTTTAGGGCAAGTTGTGGGTGCTCAGCACCTGCCATGCTCCCCAAGGGCAGCAGAGTTGAAAGGCCCCTCACCGCTACTTGCCTCTAACATGAAGCAGTCTTATCTTTGCCCACTGTAGCTCAGCTCCCTGAAACCAGCAGCCTCTGGCCACACAAGCACTGCCTTCCAGGTCCCCGCAGGCCGCCCCCGCTCTCTTTTCAGCTCATGATTGGTGCACACCATCCCATGAGTGCTCGGAGCGCTCCCTGCGGCGGCCAGCCCCTGTCACTGGCCACTCACAGAAATTACCAGGTAAGCTGTGCTGAAGGAGCACTGTGACTGGCACAGCTCGGGATCAGGTCCTTTCTAATGTCTCAGCACTGGCCTATATTTACAGTGAAACAATCGTAAATGTATTACTAAAAGTTAAGATTTAAGAGTTCGAGTGAGTAAGGATTATAAGTGGAAATAGAAATAGTTGCACAGGCAAAATGCAATCCTAGGTCTACGCTTATGAGTGATTCCCTTTCCTGTATAACAAAGTAGATTTTTCTCCCAAGGAGCCATTCTTCGACCGAGCTGCTAGTTTTCAGTCAACACCAGGATCCAAGCATTCATGAACATCCCAGGCCCGTCGAGAGGCTTCCCCAATGCCTGAATCCCAAAACGTGTTACTTGTCGCCCAGTTCTAGCCCACTGAACCTTTGAAGTGCACCATCAGATAAGACACTTCTCCCCCTTGCCTGTCTGTTCCTGTTAGTTACACGTCTTGTTGGTCTTTATTAGCATGCAGTTCAAACTGCAATTGGCAGGCCTGTTGTGAAGTAGTACAATGCTTCATTTACGTGTCAGTGAGCTAGATGGACAAAGTCTTGGTCTGAGACCAAACCTGTCTCTGCTGGAGACACCGACCTCGATGCAGACTCTCTGGATATATTTTTCAGTACCTCCACTCAACTCCTTGAATAGAAACCGTATGCCCATCACGTAATTGATATTAATGACCAGCATAAGCTTCGCTTTCATTTAAGGTCTTACCTAACACTCTTTACGGATAAATACTCTGACAGCCATGGGTTAAGTACAGTGAGTTTGTCAGGCCTGATAGGAGTTCGTTTTATAGCCCAGTGAACCTGTTGGCATTGAGTGGTTCAGAGGATCACAACATCTTTGAAAATCAGCCTGCTATCATTTAGGTGCCTAAATATGGGAGTAGGAGCCTATCTTTAGCTCCTCGGTTTGAAAATATTGCCCTGATATATGATCAGATTTGGGAAAACGTTTGGCTTGTTTGTACGGGTTTTAATTTGCAGGGGGTGGGGGTGGGAGGTATAAGGTGTTTTTTATTTGCTTTTTGTGTTGACAATGGATGGAATTTTCAAAGGCGTCTGTGTGAATTAGAGAGGCAAGGCAGGTAAGGCAAAATATCTTTTATTGGACCAACTTTTGTTGGTGAGGTGCCTGTGTGAATTCGGTGCTTATGTGCATTGGGAAATTCCGTAGGCTCCATTTGAAAATGTCAGCCAATATAACTTTTTGCTTAATAGTGCCTCTTTAAGCCAAAGGCCAGATCTACCCTTGGTAAAATGAGCTGACAGGTTTTGGGGTTTTTTTTAAAATGACATTGTGATACCAAAGAGACAAGACGGATGAGGTAATACCAGTCCAATAAAAGCTATTTCCTCACCCATCTTGTGTGTCTAATATTCCGGGACCAACACGGCTGCAACAACGCTGCTTATCATTATAGAAGTAAAACTGGACTCAGTCATACCAGCAAAAAGGAGTGTTTGCTAATATAGCTTATTTTATTTGTAGAACTGATATAAACTACAACAGCAAAAGCACTATGCAGAGAAGTTGCCTCTCCACAAAGAGGATTTGCTGGGAGACCTATATCTAGTCAGCAAACCTTTTCTCATGTGGAGTATACCACAGTGACTGCCTTTAACTCAGGACATCCCAGCAGGCAAGGGCTTTAAAACAGATCCACATCGTTATTTTCCCCATTTATTTTGATTGCCCTGCTTATTCTGTGTGAAATGTCCTAGCTAGCAAAGCTGTAGTGGAAACACGAAACTGTAGGAAGATTATGAATTTAAATTGGCTTCCAGTCTAGCCGCAGACTTTATCTGGAGGAATTGATTGTTTGCTGCAAGTCTATTGATGTGTCTGTTTTATCATGCAGGCTAAATGTCGCATGTTTATTGGGAGGGCTCTTAAGCTGTAAATAAATAGGTGTTTCCTTTAGCACAGAGGAGCCTGGCATCTCCTTAGCCATCTACACATGGGTTTATTTCTCGCCAGCTTTAAGGGAATCCTCCAAGGATGTCAGCAGCAGCATCATTTCCAAAAATCAGGAGCCAGCTTCCCGCAAAAATTATGAGATTGTCTTAAAAATCATAAGATTAAAGAAAAAAAATTTGGGGGGGGGGTTATTTGCTTTTTGCTGTTTGAGCCTGTGGGGGGGGAGGGGGTCACTTTTTCTGCTTCTCAACCACAAGGGCTAGAAATGTACTTACTTGAGTCTCGGAAAACTACCTGACTCCAGGAGCTGGGACTTTAACAGAAGCAGCAAATATCACAAAGCTGGCAAGAAAACCATGAGAGTTGCAGCCCTGCAGCTGGGACCAACCATCTCCACCCAAAAAATTACAACAGAGGGCCTGAATCCTCTCTCCCGCTGGTGTAAATAAGGAGTAACTCTCCTAAAACCAACGGAGTTATATTGCTGCAAACAAAATCTGAATCAACAGTCCAGATCAGTGGTTTTCAATCCATGGTCCACGGACCCCTGGGGTCCACAGACTGTCTAAGAGCTCCAAAGGAGTCCGCAGCTCCATTCAAAACTTTTTAGGTGTCCGCAAAAAGGTTGAACACCACTGTCCTGGATATTCAAGAAATACTAGGCATTTTGGGTTTTTTTTAACTGTTTTTTAAATGGCGTTTTTATCCAAATGGAAATTTCCATGTTGGTTTTGTATTAATGGGGGTGGGGGTGGAGATTGTTGCAAAAAACATTTTTTGCTTGTTTGTTTTTAGTTTTGGGAGCTTTTTTATTTTTGTTTTGTTGAAACCCCAAAAACTTTTGAAAAATAATTTTTTTTTTGACAAAACAAAAATCTGTTTTTGTTTTTTTGTCAGTAGGTTTCATGGGAATAAAAATCACTTCTCAATCAGCTGTCACCTCGGTCTCAGCCTGGGACTCTAGGCAGGACGGCAGTACAATTGGTTATATTCTTATTCTTATTATTGTCTAAAGACCCCCAACCAAAATCCAGGCCCCAGTGGAGTTTTGGTAAGAAAGAAACCCTTTCCACCGACTTTTTAATTTTTATTCCGGTAGAAAACAGCTTAAAAAGTGGGGGTGTTACTTTTCTCCTCCACCAAAATGAAACCTAATTTTCCATTTTGAAACCTTTTGTTGGCCATGAAAAATGTTGACCACAATAAAAAACAAACAAACAAAAAAAAACTTTAATTTGGTCAAAAAAAGGCATTTTCTATTGAAAAACGAAAAGCTTCATTGGAATATTGCCAAGCAACGTTAGCGTTAGTAACGATGGGGATTGGATATGAAAACAGTGTTAATTTCTTCTCTCTCCTTGCTGCATGAAAATAATTGGTTTATGCTTTTAAAAAAGTTTGCCTAATTCAGGCAATGTCTCTTTAAGGGGAAGGTTTCCACCTGCTTCTTTTATCCAGGCCAAACTACTTGAGTGCACACATGTAGCTTGCACATGGTATTATTATGACCTCATGCAAATCAACCTATCTCCTCAATGGGGATTGGCTGCTAGAAGCCTATGCAAATTAATCAGTTCTTCTTTTTTTTTTATTTGTCCAACTAGGTTGGAAAGAGTTAAAATTCTCCTGGATGTGGGGGGGGGTCCATGTGAATTTGACTATTGTATTCTTCCTTCTTCGATTGATTCTGTGCTTCGGCTCTTTAATAAGGAGAGGACCTAAAGGGCAAGTTTGGGCAAAATTGACTATTTCTCCCCCTTCCCTTTCTTTCAGCTGTCCCTGAAGAAGGTTCTGACCCCAGGCGTGGTGGCAGCTGTCACTTTAAGGGTAAATGTTTGATTTATTGACATAAAAAGGGCTCCGGCAGAAACGCTGGAGTTAGGTGGCAGATTGCTCCGATTGTCTTTGGGACGTCACTATGCCATGAAGTGGTATGCTCTGTGTTTTTGGACATTAAAGAACAAGCATGGGCCTGGGGAGGATGTGGGGGGAGCCGTGATCAAGATGAGGGCGAGACGGAGAAAGGCAAATTGAATTGGGGAGGTAACTGGCAGGAGCGAGAGAGACTCACCTCTAAAGTATTCCCTCTCCTGCTCCATCTCCTCATCACTGTGCGAGCCTCTTTTAGGGCCCATCTTTACTGTATGTTTTGTACAGCACCGGACACGTTGTTGCTAAACGAACGATGGGAGAGGGGGAAAGTTGTGGAAAGAAGTCAGGAGAGTCAGTGATTGAGCCCCAAACTGAGGAGCAATGGTAGAGCCCTTTCTCCCTGGTTAACGCAGTCAAGAAACCAGTGTAATAAACTCTGGGGAAAGGCCAATAAGGAAAGGAGAGCTTGCACCCCGATTGCCACTCTGATGCTGGAAACGTACGACGCAAAAGGTGAGAAGCTCAGTGGTATATTGAAGAGGGGGAAAGGAATGAGGGACATGCGGAGAGCAACAGGAAGGAAAAGGTGTCCTCAGAGCTGATGAATATTCTATGCTGAGGAAGCAAGAATTTGAAAGTCTGATGGCTTATTGTAATTACACATTGATTTGCGTTGTTCAGTGGAAGCCACATGTGCCTGTTGCCTGGGTCTGTTATTAAAATCAGTTGTGCCTTCTTTTCAGCACTCAGGATGAGTGGCAATGTGGCAGACTCCACAGAAGCGCAGAATGAACACGACCAAGTGGAACCAGGTAAGAGACTATCCCAGGACGTGGGGTGCTCGAAGGGGGAGGCGTGCATTGTTGGACGTTGCATTCTGTGCTTTGCGTCCGACTCCTCAAACCATCTTGTGTGTTGGTCAAGAATCCACACTGGGGTAAAGCTGAGCTCACACCCAGATGGGAATGAAAGATCTTTTCTTAATAGCTGTTAACCAGTTCAAAGCTCAGTAATGTTCAACGTGATTAAGCACCAAAAGAGACGGGCGGTCAAAGGTTTAATAATGTTAATATAGTCTTGAAGTACCCAACCTTGCACAGATAGCTCTTTATTGCATTTCAGGGCCTGTTCAGGAGTCTTTACTCAGACAAAACTCCCAGGGTCACATTCCTCCTTGGTGTATATGTCACTGGAATCAGTAAAGTTACAACAGGGATTAATCTGGCAGTCATTTTACTTCAGTGCTTTGACTTAGGGACAAAGATTCCAAAGAGCTCCGGGTCAGAGTTAAAAGTGGCTGGCACTCACAACTTGGGCCAGGTTTTCAAAAAGGCTTCGCTTCCACAAAATGTTTACCAAAATTTCAAAACGTTCTCAGAACCCAGCAGCATCCGTTGTGATGTAGCCAGATACTCCAAAGATCTTGGTACAACATTACCTATCCAATGTGCAGGGCTCTTTTGCAGCTGAAGTCAGTAAAGAATCCCTGTCTGCATTACAACCAAAACAGAGTTTTAAATGCGAACAAGAAAATAATCCTAAACGCATTTTAATAGGACGTGAACTAGCCCTTTATTCAGATATTAGAATTTAGAAGTGGAAAAATTCTGTTGGGTTAGCCAGGAACGCCTCCTTTAGTTAGTGCAAATTTCTGTATAGACGGGCTGGGTTAGAATCTTCACTCCACTGAAGTCAATGTCAAAAGTCCCATTTCAGGATTTCACCCCAGATTTTCAGAAGAACTCAGGGCTAGATTTTTAAGTGTTCTGTGCTCACAATGTGGGCCAGATATTCAAAACAGCCCTGAACCCAATGTGCCGCCAGTCTGGCCTGTTGTTATGGTGCCTACACGGATGTTGAACTCTTGTGAAATTCTGGCCCTATATTTCCTGGAAGATAGCAACAATCTCTTTTTAATTGTTTCAAGCCCGGGGATCTTTAGCTCATTACATGAGTCAAGCTCTCTTTCTAGTATCAGTTCTTTACATAGTGATTGGGCTTGATTTTGATCTGTTGCACTTGGTTAATTGCAGAGTAATTTCTGCTGAAGTCAGTGGAGTGCCGTTGATATAAAACTTGTATAGCTGAGATCAGAATTGGGCTTACTCGATAAAATACGTTCATTTTAAATTAGCTTAGTAACTAGGTGTCTTTTAAACCTGAAAATAGATCCTCCTTGTAGTGATGAGTTGGAAGTGAAAGTGCGCAGGTAAAGCACCTTTATTTAAAAACATGAATGAATAATCGGAGATGAATGAATACTGCTTTGAGGGCCTTGAAGCCATGCAGAGAAATACAAATCTGTAAAGATCTTCCATTCAGTGGTGGAAGAAATGCCTCTGTTCCATCAGAAGAATGAATTGGTTGGTAATTTTTCAGAGACTCTCTTAATGCAACCTCTGTAGCTGCCTGATATGTTCAGGATCTTCAGAAGTGAACAGACTAGGGGGAGACTGTGACAACATGGGAGCAGATACTGCAGTGAAATTCTAGCTTCTCAGTGTTGCCCCCAGGACCTTTGCCCAGCTACAACAAACCACCAAGCCTGGATCCTGTGAATTGCTAAGAGCTCTTGGCTCCCCTTTCCCCCCAAGACCACAATGGAATGTGAGGGTGCTCAGCGCAGGATCGGGCTTTCCGGCTGAGTTTTGTGTGTCCGATCTCTCCGCTGATGCCAATGGATCTAAGCCAATTGTAGGGATCTGGCCCTATATTTTATTTTTTAAAACCTGTTTTTAGCTCTTATTCTGTGAATTAATAAATAACCAGACAGTTTACTGAACTTCCTCAAAAAAGTTCATTTTATTTTCACTGATTCACGCTGCCAGGGGAAGACTATTGCAATTCATAATAGTAACCTATTTTGCTTATGAGCTCCAAATGGAGAAATCCTCCTTGAAAGGCTTGTTAATTGAGGGCTGGTTTTCTTCCATTTTTAAAGGATCTAGTAAGTTGGAACAAACCAAACAGCCCCCCAGGAATCTTGCCTCCTCACAGGAAGAGTTACCAAGCTACAAATATTGTAACTATAAAGAATGGAAAATTACTAGGGCCAGATTTACAAACACCTAGAGATGCAGAAAGGTACCTACTGGGAATTGCATTTATTTTCATTGACTTTTAATGGGAGTTCGGCATCTGGGATTTTCTAAAGTGCCAAAGCAGGTTAGGCACGTATCTGCCTCTTCAAGCACCCAAATACCTCGATCGATCTGGCTCTAGTTCTAAAAAACACAGCTAAAGGCTCTGATGGGAATTGTCAACAAAATCATAACTCATGACTTTTCCCTGTGTTACCAGAATTGGCTGAAATATGATGACCTATTTTCGCAGAGGGGGGGAAAAAAAGTATTAACTGAGGAATTTGTTTTCATTTCAAAGTGTTCCAAATGGACCCATTTTTCGATTTTCTTTTTCAAAATTTCCTCCATATTTTCTATTCCCCGCCCCCAAAAAACAAGTTAGTGAAATGTTTCCTTTACCAAAAACCCCTCCAAAAACTGGTGCTAACTATTTAGCTATAAAAACCCTTTGCGTTTTTATTTTGTAAAAAGGCATGACATTTTTGACGCAAGAGGAACCATTCTGACAATGTCGACAGTTTGGGATGAGAAATTATTGTTTTAAAAAAAGGCCTTTCCTGCCTCCTCCGCCCCAACAACAACAAAAAAGTCTTACAAAATTTCAACCAGCTCAGTGTTACCCCCAGCCACTCGGGTGCGTCTTCAGCTCCCCTTAGTGCTAATAGGAGGTGAGTGTGCTCAGCATCTGACAGCAGTGGGTTTTTAATTGCAGTGTAGACCTACCCTCAGTGCACGAGCTCAACGAAAGGTAGTACACGCATGTCTCCTTGAGCTGTAAATTATACCTCTAGCTGCAGTGTAAGTGTACTTACCTGAGTCACTCAAGAAGTCTGTGATGGAGCCAAGAGTTATGCCTGGGTCTCCCAAGACCTAGGCTAGCGCCTAGGACCATCCTCCAATGCTTACTTCCAGGAGGAATCCCTCTGACTCCTATGGAGCGCCCTATGCTAACGAGGGCTGTGCTACATGGTCAACTCACCGGGCCTGGGACTGCCTCTTTCTGCGTGTTTGTACGGCACCTAGTACAATGGAGCCCCGTTCTCCTTTGGGGCCTCTAATGGAGTAAGTGTGTGCAGCTGGGCTGGGGACTTCCCTTGTCTTTTTCTGTAAGGCACTGCTCTGCACTGTGGGGCTGCCGAAATGCTAAATCATCATCATCCTGAAATGAGTGGGGGGGATAGATAGCTGCAAATGAAAATATGGGGGTAGGGACAGACCCCTCTGGTGTGCTGGATCTGTTGGTCTGGGCTGAGAGATAGTGTGTGTTTTCTCTGGGAGAAAGAAGGCAGCCTGAGGGAGTGGAGCTTCTGAGGGAGTGGAGCGTCTTTCTCTCTCGTCGCCTCCTTTACCTGCCTGTCCCTTGGTGCATCTCTGAGCCCAGGTCCTACAGGGGAAATTGACACAGGCCATGCCAGCAAATATTGGGTTGACTTCAGAGGGAGTGGAGGGGGGTCAGCACCAATCAGCGTCGCCCCTGCTCTCCAAGCCAGCAAGCAGAGGGCTGCGCCGTCCTGTGGTTGTCTAAACCACCAGTATATGGTGTAATGAAATGACTAGATGAGCTTCTCCTCCATTTGTTCGTGTCAGGCCTTTGCTGTGCACTCTCTGCTCTGATCAGAACCGCAGGTCGCACCAAGCAGAGCTGCTGCTTTGATTTCACTAAAAGAAAAGGAGTACTTGTGGCACCTTAGAGACTAACCAATTTATTTGAGCATGAGCTTTTGTGAGCTACAGCATCCGATGCATCCGATGAAGTGAGCTGTAGCTCACGAAAGCTTATGCTCAAATAAATTGGTTAGTCTCTAAGGTGCCACAAGTCCTCCTTTTCTTTTTGCGAATACAGACTAACTCGGCTGCTACTCTGAAACCTTTGATTTCACTGGAGCTCAGTCGGGATTGTGGGGTGGGGGAAGCCAAGGTTTAAACAAAAGTGCATCAGGGAAACACTTCAAACACAGCTGTCAGCAGCTGAATGGCTGCAGGCACTGGGAACATCTTCCATCCCCACCCCGCTCCACCTGGCAAGTGGGGAGCTGCACAGCCGCGCAGGAGACCAGGGCGAGCACAGCGCGTGGGCATCCTAGAACAAGGAAGACACAGCTCTCTGCAGCCCAGCTTTGTCTGTTTGTGCTGCCAGTTGGGTGCACCCCGCAGGGCCCTCCTGGACAGCCCATGGCTCACAGGATGGCTCTGTGCCGCTGTGCTGATGCTGGGTTCCCGGGGGGGGGGGCCAAGCAAAGATCTGGCCAAGCTCCCATCAAAGGCAAATCAATTGCAAGTGCCCGATACCTCTGATAATCCCTGAGGAGCCTGTTTCCCTGGATTTGGGAACCAATCTTCTCCCTCTTGAATCCTATCCTGGCCTCATACCAACATCCTCCCACTGCCCAGGTCCTCCTCTGTGCCCATCTGCAGAAGATGTGAGTTGTCACAGCCCCAGCTAGGGAGCTTCAGCTCAGGTGGTCTTCAGGCTGTTGGCCAGGGTGGCTATCACCCAAGCTTTACTGGCAGGAGACTTGAGAGACTGGAGGCAGTTCCTGAGATGGGAGGCAATCTCTGCCACCAAAGTCACTGCACCAGGCAAAACTTCACAAGCCAAAAGCTCTCCCCTTCTCTACTGTCCACACTCAACTGCTTTTGGAAGTCCTAAGTGCATTAATCTCTATCCATTTTGCTGGGTGCTTAGGGTCTTGCAAAGAGGGCAGGGGAGCTAGGTTCAATCCCCAGCT